CAAACTCACCAGACAGTATCTCTTCTTCCCAGATGCCCATTTGATAATCCACTAACCCGTGGGGTTCGAGTTGATCGCAAAGCTGAATTAGGTCCCTTCCCATAGTCTCCATGCGGTCTCGTCGAATTAGACTCGTATGCGCAGGTTGCTGACTTGTCGCAATCACTTCTAGCATCAAATCCTTTTGCTTTTGACAGAAGGCTAGCCAACATAGATTGAATTCGCTCCAGAGCTTCAGACGGTCGGAGTAATGGATGCTGTCGTCATGGAGGAGGCCTGCATATCAAAGAAGGATTAGCCTCTCACTGTAGACCCATCAAGGTGTCAGATGATGCTTGCATGACGCGCGCCTGCAGGCTCAAAGACAAACATTAGGGGGCAAAAAGAACAAGAAAAAGAAGGGTCCAGTTGGGAGTGCGACTTCTGTGCTACTAGACGAGGTTGTAAACCGTAGACACTTGTTCCCCAGTCTTCTCCAACGGGGCAAAAAAAAACAATAACAAATAATGTTGGCGAAAAGGAACTGCATCTTACCAAGATCCCGTGCATTGGTCACAAGCCACTCGGAAATTTCAAGTAGCGATACTCCAGCCTCTACCAATCTTCCGGCTCGCGTTTGATCAAAGGTGCGGCGCAGGATGCGTTGGTATCGTCCGATGGCCTCCTCCAGGCTGGGCTGATCCGACTGCTGTTGCTGGGGCTCTGTTTGGGGCTGATCCAATCGGTTCATGGACCCGGAACCCACTGCAGTGAAATCAGAGATGGGTGCAGGAAAGGACTGGGTGGTGTTCGGGCGTGCCATGGGACCCGGTTGGTTATAAGGCTGGAGTTGCGCATTTAGATAAGGCGAGAGTCCTGCGACCCCAGACCCTGCAGATTCCTCTGGCGTAAAATACTGTGGAACGGCAAATTGGTTCGGCAGGACATCAATAGCTGCAGACTGCCGTGTCTGGTACTGTGGCACAACCTCGAAGTGTCCTTGGGTTGGACCCTGCTGACTGAACCCGTACAGCATGGAAGAATCATAAGGTGAGAAAGCAGCCGGATCCTGAGGCGGCGCGCGCCGTCGCTGATGTTGAATAGCCGGCGATTGTTGAGGTCGTTGACCCCGTACATAGTCCTGGGGTTGATAGTTCTGTAATTCGTTTGACTGCAGGGAACCGCCGTGAAAGGAGCTGCCTGTGTATCCGTAGTCGTAGGACATCGGGACTTGCTCCCGGGGGTTGCAACATCCCCGTTTGGTCTCCACGTGGTTGTATGGCCGGGTCAAAACTATCTGTTGCACGACCAGATGCTCTGCGAGCGGCATTTCCAGACCGAGACATTAACCTTTCATTCTGCTTCATACGTTGATCGCCATCCATGGGGCTGTCCCAGGATCGGTGCAGATCAAGCTCAGCCCAATGCTTGGGGGACAGCGGTGGGCTTGCGTAGGATGCCAGCTTGGATGATTGTTAAGGCGGATTCCAGGAATCTTTTTCCACAGATGAAGTCTTTCCCCTTGTTGGGGGTGGGGGAGAGAGAGATAGGAGGGAAAGAAAGGATGAGACGTGATCCTTGCGGTTCAAGTAGACATTCAAATCTTGTCCTCTGATGCAGCCGCGACACAGATTTAAGTAACAGAGAAAACAAAATAATAACACAATAATAGAAAAGGAAAAAAAATTAAGAAAAAAAAAGCAGGAGAAGAAAGAAGGGAGAAAAGCGGAATTATATGTAATTAGGCAGGAAATCAGGGCAAAGTCAGGTAGATAGAGATATTAGAAAGCCGAGTGATGGATCTCAAAAGAACAAGATGACGAGCTGATCGAAAGGACTTCACGAATATGAGTAAGATAGATAGATCAAGTATATGTATATAGTCCAGTCCTTGAATTGGTCTAGTATAGTATAGAAAGGGTATAAGGGTATATATGAGTGGATAGTATCAGTAAAAAAGGGAAAACACCAAGGGGGAAACAGAAGAAACTAGGGCTTTTTCCGGGCATAGAGTCAAAATATAACCCAAATATCAAATATCAAATATAAAACATTAAGCCCTAAAGCCATATAATATGATCGACGATCGAGGATCTACACCTAAACTCCATTTGGCGCTATAATCGGGAACCCGGTGCAATGGTTCTTGGCCACTCCCGAGGGATTTTTGACATTTATTGGATTTTTTTTTGTTTTATTATTATTTCCTATTTATTTAGGGGTTCAGCTCTCCAGGTCAGGTGGTATAATACTTCTTCTTTTTTTTTCTTTTTCTTTCGCTCTCTCCCTCTCTGTTCATTTTCTAGTGTGTAACACTGTCTATGTTGCCTGGGGCTGATAATGAAAGGAGAGTAACATGAGACAAAATATTTTCCCCTTGCGTAGAGTGTAGAAAGGGAAAGGAAAAAAAAAAAGCAAAAGTCCCCAAAGTATAACTAAACGCAACTAAGCGCAACTAAACAAAATAGTTGAAAAAAAGGGGATGCTATTTACATTCCGGGGAGATTAGCCGGGCAGCTGCTGGAAACCTCGCGGAGATGCATACTTGAGGCTGATATGGGGGTAGAATAATCAGGGATAATAATAGGATAATAACAGCATAATAGTATAATAGTATAAGATCAGAGTCATCTGATTATTGCATATTTTCTACCTAGGTATACATTATACATGAAACTACCCTACTAGTCCAATATAAATCAATTCAAATAGCTGTGGAGCATTGTTTGCCCGATTGGATCTGCAAAAGCCCTGACGGCCACCTACATACGTCAGTTTCCTTTTCCTCGGGTTTCTGATTGCTCAGGTCTCAAGGGGGAGAAAAGCAATTACTGTTAATATGAAGTACTGGACAAAGGTATTTGTTTGTTTACTTACTATTTACTCCGTACCTTCACACCAAATACCCTAATTGTCCCTGTCATATTCCACCCTAAACTGGATCCGACACTCTGGTTGGGATGGGGAGAATCCACTCCACTATCGCTGCGGATGCGACCTCATAGATCCGGCTGATTTTTGTGAAGTAAAGCTGTTTATACTTTTCTCTAGCCCGGCAATGATCTACCTAGACATTAACCTTACCTGTTAACATTTAACCTAGTTACGGAGTACATAAATGTACCTATGTGGGTACCTGTCGTAGGTAGGGTACTCCGTCCTTAATATGTACTTAATACTAGCGTATCTTTTAAATCCTCCACTCACAAGCTCAGATTGAACCCCGAAACAGGATAGGATGATGCAATCTGCGGATGTACGACATATGAAATAAATCAAATTTTCTTGAACGAAAAAAAAGAAGAAACTACCAAAAACAAATTAAACCATTGGCCAGGCAGATAGACTCGCGTGTACACGGAATTCTAGATCACTGTGCTTCTCGGTATATCGCCCGCAACCAGGAGCCCAACACGTTGGATAGACCAGCCGGTAGCACAAAACACGAGGCTGGAACTGGGTAATATGGGCTTGGGAATTTGTAATGGGGCGAAAAAAGGAACAATACTACATTGTTATTGTTGAAACAATCGCCTTTTGACTTCCATCCGCACATATGTACGGAGTACTCCGTACTATATGCTGTTATCGGGCAACCATATCTCCAACCATGTCTACATACATAGAGCCATGACCCTGTTTCAGGTTTAGATATCTTCAAACATGTCAGACGAAACATGCACTAATATCTAATATTAGAATCCACAGAAAAAGCTTGGACCAAAAACAAAATCTCCCTATGTTGTATTTCACTCTCCCAATCCCATGACCGAGGCTTAGATTAGACAACCCAAGGGGTGTCTCTAGGTAACAAATCTCCCAGCTGAAACACGACAAACAGACTACTGCGACCTACATCGGATGTTTTATGTAGAGGGTAAGTAGACCGAAAGTAACATGACCCCCTCCAATGTTCTCCCTTCCCTTCTATTCCTCCTCCCCGTTGTCCTTCTCCCCCCCCCCCCCCTACCCTCGTAAATAAGAAAATTCTATTAACAAGTAGAAACCACCATTCCCTCGAAACAACAGTGCCTCGCCTTGTACGACTTCCATCTCGGACTGCAGACCCAGCGAATCCAGTGCCTCGGAATTCCGAAATCATCGTCTCACCACGCTCATCCAGTCCGGTTGCCCGGTCATGAGCACAGACGTCGCCGAGACGGGGTGGACGATGGATGGGAATGGCGTGTCGATAAGAGTTGTGTAGGTGCAATACGTATATATGTACATAGTTAGTAGCCACAGACGTATGTACTAGCGATTGTATATATATGCGGAACAATTTCCCCAACGGTGATGTATGTGTACATATACCCAAGTATACCTGCTTTTTTTGCCTTTACCTTTACCTTCCACGCTTTTCTTCTTCTTTTATACATACCGGCGTGGCCACATGCACAGACTACATATGTTGTATGCAACAGGGATGTGACGGGAGCCGGGGTTCGGGAGAACGGCAAGAACAATGTAGAACAGCAGAATGGGGCGTGTGTACTGCGTATGGTTTGTGGACTGCAGAAGGTTAAGGCAATAGTAAGATGCAAGATGCACCATCTCGACCCGCAATGTGCTGGGCGAACAAGGATTTGTCATTGTGGCTGCTCCCGTACCCGACTTGTGGGTTGGGAGTCATCCGGTCCACGAGACTGCGGTCCAGAAGGAAAGCGATGGTTCGAGGGAGGGGAACAGGTGTTTACCGAGGTTATTTTGTTGCGTGGAAAATCAGGGTTGGTCCGGATGGGAACGGGGGTTGTTGCTCATGCGGCTGAAACGTCAAGGCTTTGTTTTGGGCGTTGGTTGTTGGGGTTGATGTTGAAGCGTGTGTTGGCCAGACATGCTGATATGAGGTAGGGACCGGGGTGTTTGGGTGATTTGTTGGAGGTAAAGTTGTTGAGTTGAGAAGGATGTTGTTGTATAGTTTGTGGAAGGGGCTGGGGTGGCGATACTATACTTTAATATACCTTGGTTTTTGATGCATATACTTTCCAGGGTAGCATTATGCACCGCCATTGACACTGGTTGTCTGAGCTGATGGGAAATTGATAGGCGGAAGAAAGACAGCCGGGAGAAAAAGGTCATGGGGAAGATAATTTCCATATGTCCTTCCCATATCGGGAGAAATAAACTACAAACACGTCGCTGATCATTGAGTCATGTCATGTCGAGACCAAGAAAGAGAAAACCGAGCACCAAAAACAAACACCATCCACTGAATATATTGCCACTCAATCAGTGAGAAGGGCAATCATATTTGATCTGAGCCACAGTCAGTACGAAACCCCCAAGACAAACCGGATCAAAACATACTCAGTGTCATACTGAGGCTCACGTCTGTATTCTCCACCATATCCGTGAACTCCTCAAAGCTGATTTTTCCATCCTGGTCCTTATCAGCCTCCATGATCGTCTTGTCGACGATCTGCTGCAGCTGCACGTCCTTGAGGTTATTGCCGACCATCATCTTCAGCACGATGAACAGCTCGCCATTGGAAATGTAGCCGTCACGGTCGATGTCGTACACCTTGAATGCGAACCGTAGTTTCTCTTGCTTGTTTCCCTTCGAGCTGAATGCTGATAGGCCGGTCACGAATTCCTGGAAATCGACGTCACCGCCACCGTCTTCGTCGAAGATGGCGATCATCCTATCATAAAAGAGATGTATCAGGGACTAGTCTGTATATATATGCAGACCGTAGATCGTGGGTAGGGGTGTGGATGTGGATGTTTGGGGAGCAACGAACCTCGTGGCGAGCGGGTTGGACGACACTTGGGGGAGGGAGAGGAACTCATCACGGTCGATAGTGCCGGAGGCATTCTGTAGACTGTTTAGTATGCTAGAGCCTCCTCTGACAGTATGTACTGCGCAACTAACCTTATCCAGCTTCATGAAGCGCTTGCGCAGGCGATCCACTTCGTCCCGGTTGACTGTTGTCGCGATGTCAGCCACAAGCCCGATCCATCGCCTTGACACCTTATCCGACCGTGGAAAACGTACAGTTGGATGTAGAAACAATGTTATCGAGAAGCTGAGTGGTACCCACGGAGCCCCGGCGTCTCCGCGCATCGTAAATCGCAGCAGCATTGGGCTCGTTGGTGGAGGAGGGTTGGTCCATGGTGGGTGGTTGGAGAGGGAAACGAGATGCAGCGACGAGGTGGAGTGACGATTTATGCGATGGAGGTATAAAATAAAGGTCGTAGGGCTAGTGGAACAGCAAATACAAAGAACCAGATCAAGCAAGATAGCAAAAGAGGAGGCAGAAGAGTTGTTATTGCCAAGGGCCCGGGGAATCTGATATCGCCCAGCCCCGCACTAACCGGAAGCGGACAGGCAAGCGAGCCCCTGAGGCCGTGCACTCGGCCAAAACAGGCCACCGCCGGCTGACATTACAACGTCAACCCAACCGCGAGCCGTGAATCACCTCATCTTCAATCGTCAATATCTCCCCCCCCTCCATCAAATTTCATCTCAAAAATACGTCTACGAGAAAGCGCATGAACATACCTTTCTTCTGATTCCCATTTTACCCCGTCCTCGCCCATGGTCGTTGCCCTATTGCGCGTCCCGACGCTATGACTCGGTACGGGGGCCTGGGGAGGACGCGCCCTAAAAAGCTCACCTCCAAGGCATCCATCCCCGTTGTCCGGGAGTCAGAGATTGATGCCATCGACGATGAAATCCAGAGCTCTCTACAGCAGATCGAAACTGGCGTCGAAAAGGCCGAGGAGTCGGTGAGTCCCTAATTTTAGCCTCATCCCTATCCCAGTCACGTGACAATATCGCCAAAATGACACGAGATTTTCACCCCAATATAAAATGATCGCGTGCTGACCTCGGATTGTGTTAGGAAATTCACCTGCAACGCGCAATTAATGCCACTGCCCAGGGCAAAGTAAACGAGGCACACATCCCTACTCCCGAGACCATTCTCAGTAATCTTCAATATGACGAACTCTATCCTCCCATCTTCTCGCAACCTGCGACGTACATTCGTTTCTCCTCGACCGTCGAGGACTGTTGCGGATGCCCGTACAACATGACTGAGGAGGATGATGTCTTCCTTAAGATCATGAACCAGAAGCGCGATCCATCTGCTGGTCGTTGCACAGAGGATATCTTTGAGGAGGTCATGAATTTCTTTGAGGAGACGGCGCAGATGAAGCAGCCATATGCATCCATCGATAACCCCCCGGTGTTATCCTTCGCAGAGATGCAAGACATGATCGATGCCAGATTAGAAGATCCCATGAAGATGTTTGCCAAGGAGATATATGAGCACTGGAAGTCGCGTCGGATGTCTGTTCAGAATAACGCACTTGTACCGCAGCTCAAGGTACGTTATTATCCCATGCCATTGGCCATGCACATCACTAACTTCGATCCCCGCAGTTTGAAACTGGACAAGACACCGACGACAGTGATCCATTTGTTTGTTTCCGTAGACGCGAGGTTCGTCAGATCCGCAAGACTCGTGGTAGAGATGCGCAGAGTGCCGAAAAGCTCAGACGTCTTCGCAAAGAGCTGGAAGATGCTCGCGAGCTTGTTGCTTTGGTGCGCCAGCGTGAGGTTGCTCGGAAGGAAATGCTCTCCACGGAGCGACAACTCTTCAAGCAGCGTGCTGAGGTCAAGGAGATGAAGCGCAAGCTCAACATCAAGGACGATGATGAGGACCTCATCAACCAAAAGGTAAGCATGGGTACTGCGATCGCTCAATATATGCATATGCTAACCATTCTCCCACAGCCGAAAAAGAGAGTGCTCGATATGCCACCCCAACGTCCCAATGCTCCTCAACTTCGCATGCCCCTCAAGGCTGGCCAAGGTGCAGAGGATTTGCAACTCCTGGAGGACGTCCAGGCCGAGAAAGAGAACGAGATTCTGCGCGATATCAAGCAGAACATCACCAAGCACATCAAGTGGAACGAGGGATACGTGGATCACACCCGCGCACCACTCTCTCCTTCTCCAGAAAGGACATTCGATTTGGCTACCTTCCGACCCGCATTCACGGCACAGCTGCCCACTCCTCCATCATCAGAATCATCTGGCGAGATGGATACTTCCTTAGACGCCACCAGCCCGCTATTCTCTAGAGACAAGCTTGTTGGATCGCACGCCATGGAACTGCACGACGAACCACACCGAATGCCATCTTTCCGACGACGAGTTGGACGTGGTGGTCGGTTGATGATCGATCGTCGAAACATGGGAGCCCGTAAAGTCGAGATGGATCCAATCAAGGCTGATCGATTCAAGTTCGACCAAGAAGATTCTGACGAGGAGCACGATTATGATACCGATGCATACAGCATTCAAATCATGCAGCACCGGGCTATCACAATGGCCAAGGCACGCGAACAGGCTGCAGTGGCTGCCCAAGCTCATGCGCAGGCGCAAGCACAGGCAGCCCAAGTACAGGCTCAGCGACGACTGCTGGAGCAAAACGGTCAGCACCAAGGCTCTATGGGGTCGAATCTCGGACCAGCTGCTGTGGCAGTGTCAGAGACCTGAACGACTCTTTCCCTTTTTCCTCTTTCACAGCATTTGGCGGGCGTTTTCTTCGTGGCTCTATTTTCCTCATCCCTTCCTCTCTTTGTCTTCCCCCCTTTTACCACACTTGTAGTTTTAGTACTCCCTCATGTTTCGATGATTTCCGCGGGCAGGCTGGCTTGACGCCCGATTTCTCTTCTTTTTTTCCACGTTTCCGCCCACCTCTTTCTCACACATCTCTTTCTCGACATCTCGTTTCGACGCAGGTGCTTGCTACTCGTGGCTGAGCGCGTCTGAATTTGTTAGTGTACATAGTATCTTTTTTTCTCCCGAGTCTCGGTGGTGTTGGCTGGTGTCGGGCAGCCTTTGTATGATGGATAACCGAAGTTATGATGCAAGCGACGAATGGGAGGGCAAAGAAAAGGCTCAAAAACATTCAGAAAATCTAAAACAATTTAATCACTCGCAAAAAGCACTTTTTTTTGGTTCTGTTGGGGTTCAGTAGAACAGACTGATACCGGTCGTAGTAAATGGAAGCAAGAGCAAAAGGCTTTCACACCCTCTGTGTCTTGAACTGTCGTGATTCATCATCATCGCCATTGGCAGAACGTTTCAATGAACCAGAAGTAGCGGGCTGCAGCATGCCCAAGACAGCCTGCAAGACCTCCTTCTCGCCGATGCGGACCTGCAAGGCCATCCGTACTCGACGAGTCCCCTCATCCACGTCACCGGTTTCGGGCAACGGAGAAAGCGAAGCCCTGAATTGCAGATCCGAGGGCAGAGATGTAGCGTATTGCGCCTGTCGCTTTTGCAGCGCCTTGATCAAGATAGCGGTCGCATTGGCGTCCAAGACTGGCCTGGGAGCCTTGTCCTTCGACACGCGCTGCTGGAACTCCTCGGGGGAGAGAGCCAGCGTAGCCAGAAGAACAACCAACTCGGCTGGTAGTATGTCTTCCAAAGACGGGTTGGCGTTGACAGGTCTGGGGATTACATAGCCGTCCTCGAGGATGTCGAGGCTTGAGAGGAACTCAAGTCGGGGTTGGGACTCGGTATCTGCGTTGGAAAGTCCTGCGGCTTCACAGACAGTTTCCAATGATAGCTCAAGTACGTCGTAAACAGCGTAGTTATCGGTCACATAGCCGTATCGGCGGAGGAGATCTGCGCGGGGGATCTCTCCGTAATCATTGAAGATTTCCTCGCCTGGCTGAATTGGCTTGATTGCCTTCATGACTAGGGCACCTTCTTCCTGGTAGAGACGGGCCTAATGAAAGCGGGTTACAATTAGGGTTGAAAAAAAATATCATGTCCAAACTCACGTTGTTTCGGTCCGCATCAGCGTTAAGCAGATCCGCGAGCGGGACCATACCCTTAGGCAGCTGCTCCTCCTCTTCGTCATCAGTCATGTAACTCTCATCACTGGCCTCTCCTTCATCGTCATCGTCCTCAGCCTTTTCGATATCAAAGGCATAGGCCATAATGAGGGACCCCATGACATGGCCCACTTGAATGAGGGCAGCGTCACCAGCATCGCCCTCCCAAGACGCGAGACCATAAGGAGGCGGGAAGAGATCCGGCCTCTTTGCCAAGACAGGAGCGATGGAATCCCTAATTGACTGCTCGGCGTTTGACCGACCAATCTTCTCGACAATAGTGCTAGCTTGCAGCTCCTGCAGCTCGGCAGGCGACCAAAACATCAGGGTGTCAAAACGAGAAGGCAAAACTCTGAAATACGGAGCCCATCTCGAATTATCTCCTTGCAGGTATTCATACACCATGACCAGCATCAGGGAAAGCCACGGACCCATCTGCTCCTCTAGATTCTCCCCGAGCAGGGTCCTCAGCTCCGAGTTCTGCACGGTGAGGATCATGGCGCGCGGGATCGAGAATAGTTCTTCACCTTCCGGGATGTTGCTTTGTGCCACTAGAGCCCAGACAATATATTAGAGACTGGTTATAACAATTATGAAACCTTCATTTTTGGTGAAGACCCCGTAGACGCTTTTGTGTGGTTGGGGAATAGATTTTTTGAACACTTACCGACACCACGTCCAGCTCCAGTTGCTCGAAGATCTGCGAGTCTGAGCTTGGGGTTGAGCTGCACACCTGGGCTGGCTTGCAACCATGACATGAAGTTGTCAGACTGTTGTTGAAAGCCCTCGGCGTCGGGGAAATGGGCTGTCGAAGACATGCCGGGGGAGATCCCTTTTTGGGGAGGGAAAGGAGGAGTAGGGGGAGGGTGTAAATGAGGAAACGAATGAAGTGGATACCAGTATGGAAGAAGAAAATAATGGAGAAGAGGGGAAAGAAGAAGAGAGTCGGGGGTATGCAAACTAAAGTCGAGAAGGGTAGCTCGGGTTTAGTTCGGGCCAACCGACGGGTGCCGCTTTAACTGCTGATAACGATAACGAAAATCATAGCAGAGGTCTCCCGATGTTCATACATTGCGTATGATTTTACTGCCTTTCTCCTGTACACTCTCATTGATATCTTGAAATACCGCCCATAATGATCGCAATTGGCATGGAAGGCTCCGCCAACAAATTGGGCATCGGCATCATGCTGCATCCCAAGGACGGTAGCCCCCCGCAGGTCCTCGCCAATATCAGACACACTTATGTCTCCCCGCCAGGCGAGGGTTTCTTGCCCAAGGATACTGCGCGCCATCACCGATCATGGGTTGTGAAGCTGGTCAAACAAGCTCTTAAAGAAGCCAAGGTCTCCGTTGACGATGTGGACTGCATTTGCTTCACCAAGGGACCCGGAATGGGTGCCCCGCTACAGAGTGTGGTGGTCGCCGCGCGGATGTTGAGTCTGCTTTGGGGCAAAGAGCTAGTCGGGGTGAACCACTGTGTCGGACGTATGTATTTATACACACCACGCCATAGACGGTGCCTCCTATTTGGAGTTGGGACTCGAACAAACCGCTGACAGTGTGAATCTCCAGACATTGAAATGGGCCGCCTCATCACCGGCGCAACAAATCCAGTCGTCTTATACGTCTCCGGCGGTAACACACAAGTCATTGCATACAGCTCGCAGCGGTATCGCATCTTCGGCGAGACCCTCGATATGGCAGTAGGAAACTGTCTAGATCGGTTCGCGCGCACACTGCACATCTCCAACGACCCAGCACCAGGATATAACATTGAACAGCTAGCGAAGCAAGGAAAGCAGCTAGTCGATCTACCCTACGTCGTGAAGGGCATGGACTGTTCATTCTCCGGGATCCTGGCTGCGATCGATGGCCTCGCTAAGCAGTGGGGGTTAGGCGGGGAAGAGAAGGCGCGGGAAGATGAGCAGAAAATCGTTGATTCTACCACCACCGTGGACGATTCATTGGAAGACAAGCCAACACGCGCAGATTTATGCTTCTCCCTCCAGGAAACCGTCTTCTCCATGCTTGTTGAGATCACCGAGCGCGCAATGGCGCATGTTGGATCGAAGCAGGTTCTTATTGTAGGTGGTGTTGGCTCGAATGAGCGTTTACAGGAGATGATGGGTATCATGGCACGGGATCGGGGTGGAAGCGTCTATGCGACGGATGAGCGGTTCTGCATCGATAACGGGATTATGATTGCACAGGCTGGTATGCTGGCATACGGGACCGGGTTCCGGACCCCTTTGAGCGAGAGTACTTGTACCCAGCGGTTCCGTACGGATGAAGTGTTTGTGAAGTGGCGGGATTGATATGAACTGATGTCTTGTCTGAACCAAAAAATATATCTATCATGTGTTATGAATTGAGCGAGTCAGATCCGATATCCTTTGAATTCGGTTAGATAAATTTGGAAAAAGTTATTCAACATTCACCACTCATCTCAAGTGGGCTTTCCAGACATTTGTAATATTCTTGCATAAATCCAAGCGCCTGTACAGCTGTATGATTTGCCCATGCTCAAATCCCAAATCCTGTCCCAACACCCAACACGAAAGTAACGCCTGAGAAAATATGCAGTATGTGGTGATCTCACTGAGACGTATTGTTCAACGCACATTCATGTGTGTTGGCTGTGGTCAATGACTGGGCGATCTAGTAGTAGGATCTAGTTGCCATTATGGACGAGGAACCCGAGAACATCTGGACAGACAGGAAGCAAACTGGCGAGGGAAAATGAGTCGAACAAGGCAGGAACTTGCTTGTAGATCCTTTTATCTCTGCAAATCAGACAGACCACAACATGTCCGAGGCAGTATTCAGTAAAAAAATGTATGCATGCAATTAAAAACCGCCTATATGTTTGGACATAGCTCATTCTGTGATATCGCCAGTCGGTTTGTATAAAATGGTCGTGACATACTGTAGAGACGAGATTAGTTAACCCACGAAAAGCGTATAAAGCAGTGACTTACTTTTCTTTTATACCTGGTTGTCACACTTGTAGCCAGGACACCGTTCTTGATACTGCTCGTGGCAAGGTGATTCAGGACAGTGTGGTTCGGGTAGTTCAAAACACTGCTATCGTCTTTCATGGGAGTCGTGCCGTTGAGAATTGACTTACCCAAGAATAGAGGGAGACTGGGAGGGGTAGCCGTATCTCCAATGACATTGGCGGCCTGGACATAGGCCGGGCTATCTTCTTCCTTATCCAGATCGGCGAGAAATTGAGGAATGGCCGCACCGAAATCACCAGGTGGTACCTCTTCCTCGATTTCTTCCTTTTCTAGAGGGTGGTCCTCAGTGTCTCCTGGATCCTGCTTAGAGGCATCCGGCACCGTGTGTGGAGGGTGAGCTCCCTGCAGAACGGCCGAGTCCTTGTCATGAGCATCATCTGCACTGATTTCAATGTAGTTGACCAGATGATTAGTGAAGTCGACGGCAGTCGGAAGATTATCCGCAGCGCGCATTGTGCCATCGACAATGAATTTCAAGTGGTGCGTGCCAGGTCGAAGGTTCAGAGTAGTGGACATAACGGACGGATTTTTTTCACTATTGAGTGTTAGTCGAGTCCCGGGAATTCCAACCTAGTCATTTAACCAACCTTCTGTGCAGGCGGAACTTCTTCTCCCAGTTAACAAAAGTTCCAGTAACATAGACCTTCTGTGCAGGCGCTGTCCATTCGATAACGACCGGGACGGCCTTGCCCGCGCCACTGATGGTGTATGGCTGGAGCTCATCAAGCAACTCCTCTTCTTCAATTGTTGTATGACCTGAAGCCAGAGTCCCCGGATCCATCTGTTCATCCAAAAGCCGATCCGCGGGGAGCGACTGGATATGCGAGTCCTCAGGGCCGGCGACGGGCGATCCGGGTGTGGTGTTGGCATCACCAATTGGCAATGGCAAGCGCGGTGGATGTTGTAGGTGAGCCGATGCGCTATAGTACGAGTTGAGGGGCGGGGCCGATGGTGCCACAGGATCGCGCCCCGGGACATTGCGCGAGATCGGGACCTGGACCGGGTTGGAGTGGTCGCGGGATGGGATGTCCTTGATCGGGGAGGGCTCGGCTCGACGTGCATCTTGTGGCGGAGCCTTCTCTATGTTCTTGGCTGAAGATTCGGGGACATTTCGGGATTGTAGACGCTCTTGCACGGATCCTTGGTATCCCGCCGAGTGCCCAGCGGCTGTCTCCTTTGTGGCTGAAGGATCGGACGCGGTGGCCTTGGGGGCAGAGATCGCATTGAGTGAGGATCTACGGGCGACTTTTCGGTCGCTTGTAGAGCTGTGGTGGGCATGGGCCGGCGGCGTGTCGCCCACCGGGCCTTTGGAAGGGTTGTTGCCCATCGAAGGCGGGGAAAGGTGTGATGATTTTGGGCCGAGTTTTTGCTGGGAGTTGGGAAAAGAGAAGGGTCAAACTAAGTCACAATGGCGGGTTGAAGAAAGACACTTCCGATGCCAGCTCAAAGTAAGGATTGGCGGTGGGCAGTAATTAATGTCGTTTGATGTACTCACATTGTCAAAGTACAGTAGAACGCCGATGACGCCGGAAGCCCAATCTGGTAACATAGGGCTTAGGGCTTGGCAGTTTGACCACGGCGCGTGTTACTTGGATATCATAACAGAGTCGAGATGCATAGATTGATTTGCTACATACGTTCATAATAGTCATGGGCTGGGTATCGATCCTGAAATATCCTTTGTCGCTCGTTCTTGGCTTGACAATCCAATTACTGTCCTACTTGTTGTCAACCATTCTCTTCCTCGCATCGCCATTGATCTACGTCGGACATGTTGTCTTATACCTTGCTCTGCTTCCATTGCGTATCCTCATTAAATTAGAGGTATGTTGATAGACAAGCATCTATGCTATCTCATTTCCCCATATCGTAGCTCGTTGGTGGTAGCATTTACTAAGCTCTAACAGGCATTCATCTATTTCATGACTGGGGCTGTGCTTGTCGGAGCCACTATAGGCATTATCCTACATTTCACCGGCAGCACCATATCACAACTCCTGCAAATTGAAGACTCAGATGAGCCACGGCAGCCTCGTGTGAAGCATGAGCTTCTAGATTCTCAACCCCAGAATCCATCCTTCGACTATCTAGAAGCGCAGACGGAGGATCGCAAGTTTCTGCCCTACTCAACAATTTTAGAGGAGGAAGAGAACAGCCAAGAGTCAGGTTGATGTACAGATATCTCTTCAGTCTAGTGCATAATATGTCCGTAATATGTCCAATCTCTTGCGCAACATTATAGGGGCCCGGGGGTGCTGCCTGCGGATTATGTAAGGTACGGGCGGACACCCCGGGCCCCGTAGAAAAAGAACTCGGGGTAAATCTATCCCGGGTTCGCGGGAGCACGCCTGCGTTGGTAGTCGGAAATAGCACTTTGCTTCACGCGTCGTGTGCCAACTTTGTAACATGCAAGATACTGGTACTCCAGGGTCCGGGGCGTCTGTTAGTGAAGCGCAAGATCCGCACTTTTCAAGCACAAGGCATGCGCAAGTCAGATCGTTGGGCAGCCGTCGACATGCGTGCGATCGCTGTCGTAGACAGAAACTGAAGGTAGAGACGGTCGATAGAATATTCTTATGAATACCTGGTTAATGACAGACCTTCCTCTAGTGTGATGTTGAAAAGCCATGCTCTCTATGCCTTCGGTCTGGCTTTCTCTGTGAGACAACATCAGCTCCGTTGCGGTACGTTGTTCAATATTTGTCATAGACCAGCATAGCCTAGGTATTTTAAAGGAAATACTGAGTGATTGCTTATAGAAAGTCCAAAAGATCTGCAAAAAATATGGATGAGCGGCGCAGAAGCGTTCAACGCATCCAGCCCGATATGCCCGCAACCTCAAGGTCAAGCCTTCGAGGGTCGTTAAACGGCGCCCAGACTAGCGCAAGTATTCCTTCGGATACTGATGGGCGGGCTGAGCCTCCTCGGCAGTCGCATATATATGCCCAAGCATCTGCAGTGGAATTGACAGATGAGGTATTTTGCTGTTTTCCGCCGGAAACTGCCCTTTGAATGCGGATGTTAACTTGTATGCTAGATTTTTCATCTGCACAATCAGGGATCGGTCATTTCACCTACAACACACAGCAATACTTCCGCCCTTCCTGGTGGGACCTTCGTCAATAGTCGCATACCTGACAACCGGGAAGATGATGGAAAGACTAGCCTTTCTTCACACTTTCCTGGGTTAGATCTCCCACCCCGCCCAATCTGCGACTTCCTGCTGCAGTCTTACTGGAGATCTGTGCATTGGTTCATGATGCTTTTCTATAAGCCTTCCTTTGAACAAGAGTATAGGCAAATCATTGGCAATCGATATGTGACTGCTCGGCAACGGGGCACATCAGTGTTGATTCTGATGGTTCTTGCCATAGGGGCAAGATATGCCTCGGATGAGCAACGCTCGAAAGCTGGCATATCCAAGGAAGAGTTATCCTCTCTTCAGGGAGATATGCTCAACCAGGTTCGATTGCACTATTTCGATGTTTTGGACACTGGGGCCATAGAATGTGTTCAATTGTGCATTTTGCTGAGCACCTATTATCTTTACAATGGCAAGCCAAATTTAGCGTTGCCTATCCTTGGTGCGGGGATCCAAAGTGCCCAGGCACAGGGACTACATAAGGAGAGACTTTGGGGCCCCGCAACTGAGATCGTTCTCGAAGTTCGCAAGCGAACTTGGTGGGCTCTATATGTCCTCGACAGGTGCCGTAATTCCCAGTGATTGACCATCATACTTTATCTAATCGTCTGTCAGGTACGCTTCTATCACCTATGGCCGGCCATCATTAATTAATGACGCCTATTGTGCTGTGAGCATGCCACGAGACATGGATGACATCCTGACTGTGCATCCATTGCTAAATTCGCTTGAGAGCCCTGAGAGCCAGTCCACAGCCCGAGTCACACTGGGTTCATATCAACGACACAAATTCAATCTATACTCTATTGCAAACCCCGTCGTTGGCAATATTCATAATGTGCATGTCTCCAGTTCGCAGACTGCAATGAACCAAGCCGCAGAGATCAACACCAAGCTGGTACACTGGTTTGACCGACTCCCTGTGGAGCTAAAGCTGGAGCACAATGTCGATTTGGACATGGGGAGTTTGACAAGCGCTGAGGCTGAGATCTGCCAGCTATTTCAACTGCAGGCACTGGTCCTTCAGCTGGCCTATGATAACATCCAAATAATTCTACACCGTCCGTTTATTCGATGTACTCGCCGTTTACTCATGCCTTCCAGCTTGCGCGACTCGGATGCGCGCCCAACAAGTTTCGAACAGTGCAAGCACTGTGCTCGCCGCACCTGCAGTATACTTCCACGATATGCTAAACTTCTCTATTTAGCCCAAACCACTCATGCAACTGCATATATTGCCATACAAAATTTTACTGCAGGTGTCACCCTGGCAATGGTGGCGCTGTCTGACCCCGGCTCGGAACAATCTCTCGATGCCAAAAAAGGTGTCGCGAATTCAATATCGTTGCAACAAACACTCGCTGCATCGTCTATTGTTTCATCGCAGACGGTCAAAGTTCTCGAAGGGCTCTTCCAGCTAATGTTCAAGCATGAAATGCAGTCATTGCTCCGGAGCTCGTCTCTTGATTTGAACAATCCCAGCCCGATAGGCGGGCCACCGAGCCAAGCACGTGAGCCCGATGATTTTCACGCGTCTGTCAGTAAGAATCTTCCTATGGACCGGCGATTTAATCAGACACTCTCACGTGGAGGCCAGGAGGAATCACAGCTGTTATCAAGCATCATTGAAACCGACCAAAGACCCCAAGTTCCCCTCAGCGATCAGGCAGCGATGAACCCCGATCTTGATCAGGATTTTCCCGTTTTGTCCTTCCATTCGGGGATTGATCAAGCACTAGAGTCGGTGCAGCAAGGTATGCCTCTATCTTAGAAACACTTCGTATCGATTCTTTCGGGAGATTTTCGTTAATTGTGCGAGTGTACCATTTCATGGAGCTCTCTTGCTGATCGCTGTGGCCTACAGTACTATGGAAGAACTGCGATGCTATGGGACATCCAGGGGCTTATGTCCCGGAAGTTTCCGGCCCGCAGGATGATATTTACGGACAATCGAGGTCCTTCGTAGGCAATTTCGCAGAAGAAAACATTCGCCTCTCCCCGCCGAATCCACTGGTCTCAATGGCTGACCCTGCTAGCCAGGCTCTGAACACTCTGAATAACTCCTTCCTAGGTCAGAGCTGGGTATGGAACCAGCCAGACTTTGACAGGCTGCGAGAACAGTAACTTATACTGTTGCGATCCCCATCATTTTGTTTGTGGCTCAACGGAGGAAAATAGGAAATATTCGATGTTTTAGTAGTTGGATCATATATTTCGCGGAAAACCAATCAATAAATTATGTACAAATGAATGAATTCTAACATGAGCCAATAGTATTCATGGCTGCCGAGGAGAATATCTCTGACTAGGCCGCAAAACGGATATTGCTATGATGCTTAAGACAGAAAGTCCGAGTGGAAACTTGAGTTCAACGAATGAACTGGTCCACATAATCAGCACCAAGCCCAACCTCCTCGTAATGGGCCTTTGCGGTGGCCAGCTTTGAGAAAACATCCTCCACCCCCAAAGGAACACCCATAGGGTCGACATAAATGTACGATCCAGTGACGTGGAACAAGGTGATCATTTCTTCAACGCCATCTGGCACCTCGAGGGTGTGAATATCACCGGGGGGCTCAAAAGCATGGCTTCCCTCAGTTGCCCACCAGTCGTGCTCAAGATAATGCCACTTGCCGCGGAGAACCGTGGCGTGAACGGGTCCACAGTGACGGTGGCGGGACAAAATCCCAGAACGACGCACACGGAGGAGGTTGACAAAATAGCCCTGTGTGACATTGAAAAGGATAGGTCTGAACCAGACATCCGGGCCCTGGGGAACCCAAAGTCTCTCGTCGAAGTCCAGGTTCACAATGTTGGGGACTACAAGGTCCTGCGGAACGTTTGGTAGAGGTTTCCCCTGATAGGGGATAGCCTCCGGCTTGAGTCGATGGTCGGCTGAGGCAGAAGTCATAGTTAAATTTATACTCAGGTACCGAAAGTAGAAGGTAACGAAGCAGAGGCAAGTATCTTAGTTGAAATTGGGATTTGTGAGCACTAGAATGATTACCTGTCAAAATGAGTTCCTTATATACTCGACAATTATCATTGCGCCGATCAGGCAGAAGGCATTATGCAAACCAAATGTGTGGTAATTGGAGGCCACACCCGACTACATCTTGCTTTAGTCCAGAAGTTCCACTTTTACTCCGAGTCCGGTGGATGTCCGACCGTCTTAGCGTTAGCATATAATACAGAACAAAGCTTGTCAAGATCTATCTTGGAGGTTGGTCGAAGATTCTGGACGTTTCAATGCAACTTGACCGATTCATCTTCAATTCGTCCAACCTTTAAGGGTATTTGGTTAGCAGGAATCACTGCGAGGTATATTGGAATGGGGGCAATGAGCCTCATTAGTCGGACTCTGCCCGAGTTTGTGAACCGTATGGGACTTAGACAACATGTGGATGAGTTCTAGATCTACCAAGACTTTATGCCATCAAAGCAATGAAGCAATGTAACGAATTTTGAATTATATGGCTGTGTTTGTGGTAGAACAAGAACCCTCTAGGGCAGGGATATAGGTACTACATTAACTTGCAATGGGTGACTTCCAACGACAAGAAGTGTTTACGGGGTTTGGTCGATGTGATTCTGAATCCATCACCTCTCCATACTGACTGACTACGGATGATAGTCTTAATAACTGGACCAATCGAGACAAAAATGGTAAGCTAAACGAAGAAACTTCATCCGTATAGTCACCTAGTTTGTCCATAGTAATGTGGTGGTGGGCACGTTGACTCAGGGATATATATATATATATATATATATATAGTAGACCTAGAGTGTGGGAGTTTCCCATTCGACCAAAAAGCCTACAATTGCAGTAGTCGAGGCTCTTTCTAGCATTTTCAACATAGAGCGTAATACCAATTCGATCATCTCTTTTTCCAAATGGACTTTCTCCATTTTTAAATACATAGTCCTGAATTTCAGTAACCCTTTCCCGCCTACTCACGTCGAAAGCATGTTCTTTACAGTTGTTTCAAACTGCTCAGGTTCCCGGCCAAGTATTTGAGCCAGATTTGGGGTAACTACTGCACATTCGCCATCGCGGATCCCATCAAAAGCAGTCGCCCAGAGAGGCGCCCAGTTGCCACCACCATATGTGAGACCAGCTTGGACCTGTGGCTGTTTGACGTACTCGTCCACATCTACCTGGCGGACCTTGATCGGCATATTGAGCACGCGGCTGAATACATCCGCTGTTTCATTGAGAGACAAAGCACGAGGGCCCGAGAGAAGGACAGTTTTGTTTAAATGAGGGAAAGCAGCGGGATCTTGGGCGTGTTGTGCAATAAGTTTTGCGGTTGCTTCCCCCAACTCGTCTTGCTTAGCCCAAGCAAGGCCAGGTCCCGAGCCATCGTGAGGGATACAAATCTCGTTAGACGGAGCTTTGAGATCGAAGAAGGCAGTATAGAGTGGGAAGGACTCTGAATACAACCCTTGGCGGATGACAGTGTACGTGAACTGTGGGTCCTGGGCATGTAGCTCGGCCAGATACTTCTCTGTTGCAAGGTGGGCAAGCATGACTTGGGCCTTAGTATCGAGGTTTCCATCACCAGCAAACGCAAGAGACGAGTAAAAGATATGCTTAACGCCACTCTTCCGAGCTGCATCAATCGCGGATTTATGTACCTATAGAACCAGATTAACTCCTAGCCGTCAAATGGTAGTATGGGGAATGTAAATTATACCTTGAATCGATACTCGTGTTGAATACTAGCATAAGAGATCAAGTTCAGAGACGAAATCCCGTCAAACGCATGGTCGAGTGTCTGGGTATTGTCGTAATCGGCCTTGCGGATGATAGCTCCGGCAGCTTTCTCTTTGCTGAGTTTCTCTGGGCTGCGAGCGACGAGCACCACTTCATTGGCTGGGACTAGCCCAAGAAGGTGCTTAAGGGTACTGCCTCCTAGGCCACCAGAGGCCGGGAATATGCCAATTTTGTTTACCATCGCTGAATCACTGAGGAAGTTCGTAAAGAGGAAGTTAAATGAAACTTACTATGCTGTTTTTATAGCTAGTTAATTTATAATCAGACTTTAAAAGTATCCGACTCGGATGAATCAATGTCGACTTCTCGCCGGGTTCTTTAGATGGCATCGTCTTTTCCGGAACTCAACGGCTGATTAGTCAACTTCCTGCATGACCTCATACCTAGGTAGCATCCATCCTATGTTGCAAGTTGTCCACAATGAAAATTTCGCCTGGTAGTCCACTGTAGCGCAGACTAATTATTTAGGAACCCTCCAGAAAATGATTACCTAAGTCTATGTGTGTGAGATCCGACTCCGGTGGACTCGGACATGAAGTTTGTCAAGAGGTGGGTCTCCGCCAGCTCAAAGTTGTGGCACTAAACAAGCCTCTCGGAGAGATTTGAATATTTTTCCATTATAGTTTGAGATCGGCGCCGGAATATAAATGCATTGAGAGTTGACTACGCTCTGGAGAGAATCCCAAGTCGAGCCACTGCGAAGCATAATGGAGCTTGTGCATGGCTAGGAGGGTATTGACATTCAGTTGGCACATGTCGGATGCAAATCAAGCACTGTTGAACTCTGCTACGTTCTCTCGACTCTGATCAAGAATCTCTCTTAAGTATAGTGCATAATATTATAAGAAGTTGCAGTTCAGCCTGCCATCCGTGGCGGGCCAGACACAAACTTGTCATTAAATTGCCCAGGAATCTTATTAGGCAATGGAAGCGACCTGTCCAATCTTTTCACGACATTATATTCAACTTGAGACAGAAATGTTTACAGGGCCGCTCGAAATCAGTTTCACCACTTGAACACAGACATTCTTTCTCGAGGCCCCACTTTACAACCCGCTAATCTATATATAGCTAATTTTAGTTTCAAGGGGCTGAATCGTATTGAAAGACGGTTATATGGAAGACTGGATCTGATGAATGATGTGAAATACCATTACTATTAATACAAAGTAACGTCATTCCTCAGCTCGCTCGTGGAGTCTTGGCCCCCTTGGCAACGACATTCGCCAGGACTTTGAAGTGGAGTCCTTCACCTTGCTCTGCAGTATAACGTTAATATGGGTGAACTCATTCTACAGCGGATTTCGAGAACAGTTTACCCCCCCAGACACACACGCTTTCTTTCCCAGCGCCCCACTCAGAATGCGCTAATCTAACTTTGGCTAGCTGAGGTACCTTTTTTGAGGCGTCACACCGTATTATTGGTTGCGGGGGAATCTGAGACCCAGCGATCCGGACTAGACGTCCTTGTGGGTCTCTGGGAAAGAAAACGTGTGTGTCTGGGGGGTAAACTGTTTTTGAAATCCTCTGTAACAATTGGGAAATAAAGTCGAAATCGCACCCTTAATGTGGTTTATTCAAGCACTTGTCATACTTAAACAGGGACATCCAGCGCCTCTGCTTTCCAAGCCAGCATACAGAAACTTGGCCATCCTAGCAGGGAGCGTAGGCGAGACTCATCTAATGGTACGATCAAAGACTGTAGAAATACGTAGGTGACCCGTTGTGACTAAATTATTCTCTTTTTGTCCCTCTCAACTACGTGAGTCCACTAATAAATTGTCATGAATTTGACTAGCCACAGCTAGATTTCATGATTCCGTAAGGGTGATGAGTTCTGAAGCTAGGTAATTGCTGAACACCATCTTAGAGGCTATAAAAGGAATTGCCAAAGGTCGACCAGAAATTTCAGAGACCACGAGAGGGAACTTCTTCACCTATTTGATTGGAGTCCTACAGTAGAGCCAGGCTTCTTTCTGAACGATGAAATAGCGCCCTTTCTGTAGAGAAGTCATACCGTCTCTTGATAGCCTTGTGATGAATCGGCCAGCCTAAAGAGCATTGCCATATTCGCTGCCAGTGCATTGATACTGTAGCTACTCCCTTATCTAAGAGCGATGTTGATTATCTCGAATTCGTTGTGATAAGGGGGCTAAGGGTAGTTGCAGTAGAGGCTGTCGTGCGCGCTAATATCCGCTCCCCTGTCCAAGAGTAGTTTGACAATCTCTTGATGGCCTTTTGACGAGGCGACCTGGAGAGCGCTGCCGTATTCGCCGCCCTGTGCGTTAACGTCCGCTCCCTGGCCTAAGAGTAGTTTAACAAGCTCTTGATAGCCTTCTGACGAGGCGGCCTGGAGAGCGCTACCGTAGATGCCGCCCTGTGCGTTGACGTCCGCTCCCTGGTCTAAGAGTAGTTTAACAAGCTCTTGATAGCCTTCTGACGAGGCGGCCTGGAGAGCGCTGCCGTAGAAGCCGCCCTGTGCGTTGACGTCCGCTCCCTGGTCTAAGAGTAGTTTAATAAGCTCTTGATAGCCTTCTGACGAGGCGATCTGGAGAGCGCTACCGAATACGCCGCACTTCGCGTTGATGTCCGCTCCCTGGTCTAAGAGTAGTTTGATAATCTCTTGATAGCCACTTAAGGAGGCGATCTGGAGAGCGCTACCGTATTCGCCGCCCTGTGCGTTAACGTCCGCTCCCTGGTCTAAGAGTAGTTTGATAATCTCTTGATGGCCTTTAGAGGAGGCGGCCTGGAGAGCGCTACCGTATTCGCCGCCCTGTGCGTTGACGTCCGCTCCGTGGTCTAAGAGTAGTTTGACAATCTCTTGATAGTCTCTTAAGGAGGCGGCTTGTAGAGCGTAGCCTAATTCGTTGCCCTGCGCGTTAACGTCCGCTCCCTGGTCTAAGAGTAGTTTGACAATCTCTTGATGCCCTCTTAAGGAGGCGGCCTGGAGAGCGCTGCTGTATTTGCCGCCCTGTGCGTTGACGTCCGCTCCGTGGCCTAAGAGTAGTTTGATAATCTCTTGATGGCCTTTAGAGGAGGCGGCCTGGAGAGCGCCGCCGTATTTGCCGCCCTGCGCGTTGACGTCCGCTCTGTGGCCTAAGAGTAGTTTGACAATCTCTTGATGCCCTCTTAAGGAGGCGGCCTGGAGAGCGCTGCCGTATTTGCCGCCCTGTGCGTTGACGTCCGCTCTGTGGCCTAAGAGTAGTTTGATAATCTCTTGATGGCCTTCAGAGGAGGCGGCCTGGAGAGCGCTGCCGTATTTGCCGCCCTGTGCGTTGACGTCCGCTCCGTGGTCTAAGAGTAGTTTGATAATCTCTTGATGGTCTCTTAAGGAGGCGGCTTGTAGAGCGTAGCCTAATTCGTTGCCCTGCGCGTTAACGTCCGCTCCGTGGTCTAAGAGTAGTTTGACAATCTCTTGATGCCCTCTTAAGGAGGCGGCCTGGAGAGCGCAGCCTAATTCACTGCCCTGCGCGTTAACGTCCGCTCCCTGGTCTAAGAGTAGTTTGACAAGCTCTTGATGCCCTCTCAAGGAGGCGGCCTGGAGAGCGCTGCTATATTCACCGCCCTGTACGTTGACGTCCGCTCCCTGGCCTAAGAGTAGTTTGACAATCTCTTGATGGCCTTCTGACGAGGCGGCCTGGAGAGCGCTGCCGTAGAAGCCGCCCTGCGCGTTGACATCCGCTCCCTGGCCTAAGAGTAGTTTGACAATCTCTTGATGCCCTCTTAAGGAGGCGGCCTGGAGAGCGCTGCCGTATTCGCCGCCCTGTGCGTTGACGTCCGCTCCGTGGCCTAAGAGTAGTTTGATAATCTCTTGATGCCCTCTTAAGGAGGCGGCCTGGAGAGCGCTGCTATATTCACCGCCCTGTACGTTGAAGTCCGCTCCCTGGCTTAAGAGTAGTTTGAAAAGCTCTTGATCGCGTTCTAACGAGGCGACCTGGAAAGCGCTGCTATAGAAGCCGCCCTGTGCGTTGACGTCCGCTCCCTGGTCTAAGAGTAGTTTGACAATCACTTGATAGCCTTGTAACGAGGCGATATATAGAGCGCTGCCGAATCTACCGCCCTGCGTGTTGACGTCCGCTCCCTGTTCTAAGAGTAGTTTGACAATCTCTTGATGGCCTTTTAAGGAGGCGGCTTGTAGAGCGCAGCCTAATTCACTGCCCTGCGCGTTAACGTCCGCTCCCTGGTCTAAGAGTAGTTTGACAAGCTCTTGATGCCCTCTCAAGGAGGCGGCCTGGAGAGCGCTGCTATATTCACCGCCCTGTACGTTGACGTCCGCTCCCTGGCCTAAGAGTAGTTTGACAATCTCTTGATGGCCTTCTGACGAGGCGGCCTGGAGAGCGCTGCCGTAGAAGCCGCCCTGCGCGTTGACATCCGCTTCCCTGCTAATAAGATCCCGTGCGGGCGCCAAGAGCCCATTGAAGCAAGCATAGTAGAGCCTGGAACCTCGCGGTGGACCAGGGTTATTCTCCCAATTCCTATCAGCCTGATACAAACGACCCCATCGTAGGAATGTCACCTCCTCTTCTAGGAACTTGACCGTCATCCGAACTATATCTTCGGAAGCCTGAGCCAACGCAGCATGACCTGCCCAGCTTTCTGCCGCATATCTTGCCATCGGGAAATCCTGCGTGATCTCTTTGTCGCCACCGTTGATATCTGTCAGGTATTTTAGGCACGTCCTTGTGATGGAAATGCTGGCAATCTCCGTCATGAAATGGTCCTGTTGGAGGAGGTACTCTTTGACGGAAAAGTGGGCAAGATGTAACTCTTTATCCGTGGCGTGAACGATTGTCGCTAAGCCGGGACAGTAATCCAAGAGATCAGTTTCGTAGAACAACCGACGCTTGATGTCAAATCCTCTCGACTCGTTTTCAATCTGCGTCGCTATTACTTCTTTAGCCTCTGCTAGCGTGAGAGGTCGCTTAGAGTGCACTAAAAATTGTAGCAGGCGTATTGCATCCATTTTTCGCTCCACCGGTATGCTCTTCATCATGCGCTCATATGTTTCATTCAGGTTAATAGGTAAAGATACGAGAGCCTCCTCTATAGCTGCCTCGTGACGACATCGAGCTAGGCTGTCTAATTGACAGAATGCCCACCTAAACCTGAGTAAGACGTTAGCAAACTATTGTATGTCAATCAAAATAGTAACATCTCACATTCCGTCTGCCCCGTCGCCAACCTTCTTCCGTATTTCCTCCAGAAGACCCTGTGACAAGGGTTTCTCTGTAAACTCACGCCGTTGAGAGAGTTGTTCTGAGACCCATGAACGGATATCGGAGTTGACAGCCTGCTCATTGAGTGGTAGGCAACCTTCCTCTCCTATCAAAATTGGAATGTGGCGCAGAAACTCGGACTCGGGTCGACTGGTATAGAGCAGCTGGACATGGGCCAACTCTGGCCTAGATATTATGTCCTCGATCCACTTGAGAATATCATCCCTTGAAGTTGATTCATCTAATGCGTCCAGAACGATAGAGACACTCTTCTGGACTCTGAGCATGTTATAAAAGATGACCCAGAGAACCTCTGTCTTAGGTTGGTATTTGCCATTCTGATGTGCTTGAAATGACGCATCAAGATGAATTGCAGAGTCAACCCCGCCTTGGTATAGCTGGAAAGCAAGCGACCGCAGCATGTTTTCATAGGTCTGCTTTTTGGTGTCGCTAAAGTCAAAGAAAAAGTTGAGGATAGGACCGTCGTTTCCTTTTGCGAGATGATCAAGCACAGTTGTGCTGAGAACGGTCTTTCCACATCCCGCGAGCCCGTGCAGCCATACATGTCGACGCGACCCCGAGTACCACAACCGGAAGACGGGGTTCTCTAGGAGCCACACGCCTGTCCCCTTGTGGTGGAGCGCCCTCGCGTGGTTGGCGTTCGTAGATGGGTCCGCGGGATCAAGCCAGCCTTTGATCTGATGAGTACGAAGGTCAGATTTAATAGAATCGGTAGTAGCTTTCATTGCGACTGTCGTTCGCTGCACATTTTCGATCTGTTTATTGACTATTCGCAGTCAGGGCATATTCTAAGCTCAAACATTTGTCTCCGGTATTTGCTGGTACTTTAGAAACCTGCAGCCGAAATAATCAGGGAGGCAGATACTAACCCTTTTCCAACATAGCTTTCGCTGAATCCTCGGCATCAACAACACTAGGCTGCACACATCCCAAAAGTTCCTTTGCGTATGCAGCGGCCACGGCTGCAGCATATTCTTGCCAGGTTTTCTCTTTCCCTGGCTCCGCATAATCACAAATGCCTCGGATGACAATACATGGAAAATCATTCATAAGCCCGGCTGCCTCCATCTCGACACACAACAAGTGCCCGCCAAATGCTTTATCGAGGGAGTCTCGAGACTGGGCGTCCTTAACCACTTTGTTCCCGGATGCGATCAGGCCATGATGTATCCTCACTTCTCTTTGGGTCCGTGCTTCCTCTGCCTTCTCTGACAGCCGCTTATTCTCTTCAATTACTGGGCTAATAGCCCATGAGCCAAGAAGATATGCAATCATTGTGATGACCGCCTGCCATAGGCTAGACAGAAAATGGTCTTCGGTCGAAGTCCGACGTCCCCTCTTTGATACCAACAATGGGTCTTCCAAGCACTCACGCCTGGTATATTTCGGCGCCAGTCGCGGGAATCTCCTTTCCACATCATCCAGATACTCATTTATCTTCGACCCGTACATCTCATAATTACTTTTCAGCTGATTCGACGCATTAAGAAGCGCGTTCGGAGGTCTGTTCAGCGAGCCCGTGTGGACGAACTGCCCACCCCGTTCCAGCTTCCCCATATCCCATTGTACTACCCCGTGGTAGTCCGCAACAGGTTGGCTGACCACCACATCACCCAGATTGACCTTCGATGGAATTCCGCCGCCAATCCCTACCATCAGCCCGAATCTGATCGATTGGAACGTGTTTATCATAGAGGTCGCGACAGTCGCGGCAGGGTTGGTTCCCATATTAGGTAGGCAGGCTATGACGACATTGTGGCCGCATATTGAGCCAAGGGTATATGCATTATGGTCGTTGCGAGGGGTCGGAAGAGGTTCGTGCTCTTCATCTAGCATGGCTCTCGCTGCGGTCTGTTCTTTTGGAATGGCGCATACCCATCCGATGGTATAGGCATCGTGTCGAAGGCGCTTTCGGTAAGGGGATGTTTCGGGACTAGTATTATTTTGTGGTGACACTGATTGCTCTAGCTGTGATGGGGGAGCCATCTTCAATGGAGGACGACTCGACGAAGCAGAGTGTCTAGACGAGCGGGATATTACTGGATAGTTCAATCAAGAACTCACCCTCTCTCTCCTAGCACAATAAGAGATCTTGGCCCTTCTTGTCTAAAAAAGAGGTCGGCAAACTGAAAAGCTGATGGAGGGCATTGCTGAGGACGGGCAGGGGTAAAACAAAATTGGCCAATTCAGGTAAACTATGATTGCCACGTCAATCTTCTGGACCTGAGCTGAAAGAGGGGTACGTCCTCAGCCTCTTCATCATGTGCCTTTCCGCCCACCACACCGCTTCCTGAATGGCTTTCTGTTGATCATGTTTCCCTGTGGTGGGGCCAGTGCCGTTCCTAGGAACGGATCGACCCGATCCAGAATAGTCAAATCCAGCAAGGTTCGCGATAAACCAGCCAAAGTTTTTCGGATAAAAACGCTTTAACCTCAGCACCAGAAGAGCCTCTTGCTTCTCGGCGATTTTTGCACATATCTAGAGAACAAACAGACTACAGTTTGTGATTGATACTGATTGATCGAGAGATGATGCGCCGGTCTTTCAATCACCTTTTTGAGGGCCGCAGCTTTGAGAGGGCCGCAAAGCTCCTAGGAACCCCAACATGGCCACGTCACGTGTATATCCTAGTATCTAGCATCCCCCCAGACTTTTCGGCCAAAATCTTTTCACCTGCTTCCTGAGCAGAGGGGTGAGCAAGGTGAGCAAATGAATTGGTTTTCCTTCACATTCGGTGGTTTCCCGCCCGTCTCTTTCACCAAATCCCACCTCCCCCAACGTTCTGATCCTTGTACCGTCTTTCTATGTACAACATGGCACCAAGGCTGCCCCTCTCAATGCTTGAGATGATCCAAGATATGATATTGAGCGAATCACTAACCACCTCACAAATGGCCAAAGCTGCTGAATGCAGCAAGCGATCAGTCATTAACATCAGCAACAACCTTCGCTGGTTCGGAAATGTCAGAGCACCCCCAACTCAGGTCGGTCGACGATGAAGCGTAACTCCTCCGATGCTACAGGCCTTGTGCGATCATCTACTGTAAAAGCCAGGGCTATATGTCGACGAGATGACAATCTTTTTATGGGACGAATTCCGTGTCCAAGTGACAAATTCCAGTATCAAGCGAGCTCTCGCTTCGGTCGGTTGGTCAAAGAAGGTGGCTCGACAGAGAGCAAAGGAGCAGAGTCCCGACTCGAGAGACTTCTACCTACATAACCTATCGGATTTTCAGTCGTATCACTTCGTCTATGTGGATGAATCTGGATGTGATAAGCGAATTGGGTTCAGACGGACAGGCTGGTCTCCGTTAGGCGTAGCACCATTGCAGGTAGCCAACTTCCATCGTGATCAGCGCTACCAGATACTGCCTGCATATTCTCAGGATGGAATCGTGCTCTCTCGGGGTTTTCAAGGCTCCACCGATGCTGCTCTATTCGAAGATTTTATTGACCAGCTGCTGAGGCATTGTGGAAGGTGGCCTGAGCCAAAATCCGTCCTAATTATGGATAACGCATCTTTGCATCACTCTGATCGTATAAAAGAGATGTGCGCCGATGCAGGAGTAAAGCTAGTATACTTACCACCTTACGCCCCTGACTTGAATCCGATCGAGGAGTTCTTCTCCGAGTTAAAAGCATTTATTAGACGGAGCTGGGTGCGGTATGAAGAAGACCTAGAACAAGGGTTTCCAACTTTTCTCGAATGGTGTATCGAAGTTGTTGGATCACGAAAGCAAAAAGCGCTTTAGGCCATTTTAGACATTCTGGTGTGGATATTGAAGATAGTTGTCGTTAGATTTAAAACAGCCTGGCGTTGAATCTTATCATGAGCTTACCAAACCTACTTTATGTCCTAATCATTCTACGTACGCCTCATTCTACGCTTTACTAAAGAAGTTTATTAAAGGGGTAGATTTAAATTATGAAGCACAGGTAATTCAATAATAAATATAACGTCTAAACGAGCGCCACTGCACGCCCTCAGAGAGCTGCCTGCGCCCTCTTCTCTATTGACATTCCTCACGCTCCGAACCCATTTGACGATATCTCTTACAAACTGGCGAGCAATACCTACCACGATCCCTTTATCGATAAAAAACGATGGGTTTTGGTCCTCATATATCAGTTGAAGATCTAGACCATTTGCCAGAGCAACATCGCGCGCTCCTCGAAATTGGGCTTTCAAATTGTCATCACCGACATTTGTTTCATGCCAAGCGCTGTACTCCTGAACAGCCTCATCTCGAAGTCCAAGGATGTTAAAGTCGTCACTGGATAGGCCATTTGGTGACGGAAGCATTGCTGGGGTTGCGAGTGAATTGAGCGCCTCTGGTTGAGGGGAAGGTTGTACCCCATTAAAGTTAAAATTTATAGGAGGACAACTTCCCGGGGTGTCAGTCATCTTGTTATTTCTGGATTGTTGACTCTCCAGTCTGTGTCGCTCTTCCATATATAAGTCTTCACGAATATTGTCTGGGACGTCGTCATGGGATTGCACGGTCCCCCTTTCTCCACAAAGGCAATTAGACGTTTTAAATGATGGGTTCTCAGTCCATAGTGTTTTTTCCCGTGAGGGTCTTGCCAGCAATATCGGCCTAGATGGCATGATGAGGAAGGACAACGCATCAGGTTGTAAACACTCCGCCAGACAGACTCTTCCCCAGAAGCATTTTCTTCGGCATCCAGTTGGGCATATCGCTCGTTGAGCATTCTTTTAGTAACAGATGACCGTCCTCTTTTCTCAACCCTTCCCGAGGTATTTCCGGGGAGGCGGTCATCCTCAACGTATTTAAAGGTAATACTTAGCCTCAGTTTCTTACCTCGACAAAAGAGTTCCCCCCATCTAAGCAGCTCTTTTTCCACAGCGGTCCAATCGATGTTGAGATTCTCAAATCGCTTCGTCAGGTCGCGTTGGGAACGATCGTTGACCGACACAACGATCGAGGTATCATCCGACCTTACCCTCCCGGCACGGGAGGTTTTCCCTTCTAGCAACTTCTCCAACTTGGGCCTCAAGTTGACCGGCCAGTAGGCACTCGGAGTCAGGGCTACGTCCTCTTCTGTGTCTCGTGAGATGACCTTCCTATTCAGCATAACCTTCCACTCTAACATATACTGGATGCAGCTTGCCGGAAGCTCATCATTTTGTAATTCCTCGTCCCACTCGGAGAGCTGGAGTAGTTTGGGTTTTTCCGCGTCGACTTGGCATAACTCTGCGAGACCGTTCTGGGTGGAATAGCCGGGGGAAGGACTAAGCCCGCATCGTGGCTCAGGTGTGCAACCGAAGTATCCTGGAGTGGGGGCATATTGCAAATCCTGGTCCGACGCTTCTAGCTCATAGGAGGATCGAAGATCATTACCGTTGCAATACGAGTCAACAGTCATCGTCGCTGTTCTAACGGTTCTACCGATTCTAACGTCAGCACGATTTCGGACACGCAGTCTGGCGGGTACAGGCCCCAATCAGAATGCCAGCATTGTTACACAACGTATAGGAAAGCGTTCACCAAACCAATGTCGCCTCTATACACGTCGTTCTTTCACAGTGGTCACTCCTGCGGATGCTGAGTAGTTGATAGAGGGGAGAAGTCGAATTCAGGCCAGATAACCACACTGACAAGGAGAATTGCCTTCTGTTTGCCTTGTTTGCATGATCAACGCTCTAGAAACCCCGGAGACCATACAAGCTTAATACGGATGCTATTTTTACGCTGTTATTTACAGCCGTACTGGAATACTGCCAAGAAAGGGGTTCAGGGGTTGATTAACTGTAATAGGTATAGCGCAGTTTCAAAAGAGGGGTTAAGAAAGAATCTCTGTGTGTAGGCGGTGAATCTGATTTCGATCCATGCTGTACCAATTTGCAGCGACTTCGCGGTCCGGTAGACCAGGGCCCCCATATTACCTAACCGGGCCATATATGCGATCCAGCCAATCACATCATCCACATCCAGTCTCCAACAATACCAGGTACGATGTATATAAATTTTATCAAAATCCATCATCCGAGTCTCAAAATTCTTTACTCTTCTTTCATCTCCCAAACTCCCCCTATTTTCAATACCTTTCCCTGCCCAAAATGGTCCGAATCAACGCGTTCGCCGTGGAGCAAGTAAGCAACCCTCCAGCCCCATTCTGCCTAATTACACAGAAACTAACACCCCAAAGTGGATGGACCTCTACGAAACCAGTGCAAAGCACAACCTCGCCGAAACATGCTGCGCATCCATCTCCCTCAACGACCTGCTAGCCCTGTCCCCAAAAAAGGATCTGGTAGACTACACGCAGAAGCAAGTCTACGGCGCAATCAGGGGATCCGAGGCGCTGAGAACCAATATCGCGAACTTGTATTCGCAATCTGGATCCACCGAGGCCAGCCCCGTCTCTGCTGATCGAGTCCTCGTCACAAACGGTGCCATCCAGGCTAATTTCTTGGCGCTTTATACTCATGTCGGGCCGGAGGATCATGTTATTTGTCAGTATCCGACCTATCAGCAATTATACTCTGTTCCTGAATCTTTCGGGGCGGAGGTTAGTCTATGGCTGTCGGATGAGGAGAATGGGTGGGGGATGGATTTGGAGAAGTTGAGGTCTTTGATTAAGCCGAACACGAAGATGATTATTCTAAAGTACGTATGGCTTCTGGTGGTTTATTGACTGGATGTGTACTGATTGGAGTCTATAGCAACCCCCAGAATCCCACTGGCGCGATTCTTCGTCGGGATGAATTACAGGGGATTGTGGATATCGCGCGTGAGCATGGCATCCTGATTCATTCCGATGAGGTTTATCGGCCTCTGTTCCATTCTCTCGACTCCGATCAAGAGGTTCCTCCGTCTATTCTCGAATTTGGGTATGAGAATGTCGTTGCAACGGGTTCCATGTCCAAAGCTTTCAGCTTGGCCGGGATCCGATTGGGTTGGATTGCGTCGCCGAATCCTGAGATTATCGAAGCTTGTGCCTCTGCTCGTGATTATACCCT